ACAGCGACCCAAAAGGGCCAATAAGCCTCCACACTATAAGGTGCTGCAATATGGCCAATCAGCATACACGAATCCGGTTTAGAAATAGTAGTGGTATCCCCCTTATGGAACAATAGGTATGACCAATCCTGATATCCAAACTTCTTTTAGGCAGGATGATAAAATCAGCAATATATATTGGAAAGAAGAAAAGAAATCCTCCCATAGTGTAATACTGTAAGTTTATTTTAAATGTCATAAATAATAATAAATATTATTAATATTATAAATGTCATAAATAACTCAGGGTATTACCCTAAGCTTTGTAAGCTTGTTTTTATCAATGGAAATGTGAGTGAGCAATTTTCTGGTTTATGACATTTAAATTATCAGGCATATTTTATGCCATTTTCACTGTATTTATTTGTGATTTATATCATTTTTCCTTCCTGTTTAAGGGATGCATGTACATTGTCTCACTATTTTCTCCAGTGTGTGATGTCTATTTCTCATTTACACATTTATATTTTTTTTTTTTGCATATTATCACATGATATTTTCCTTTTTTGACGTGTATATTTCTTTTTGTTAGAATTTGTTTGAGATTTATATTTATGCACTAATTATGGTATATAAGTGTATTTAGGCACTGTGTAAGGAAGCGCAACACCATTTTATTTTTTAACCTCTTGCCGTCCGCCTGCTGTTGATAAACAGCAGGGCGGTGGCACTCCAGGGGCGGGTTGCCGTTCATAAACGGCACCCGCCGTTTCTAGCTGTGCCTGCTCCCTGCGATCCGGTGCCCGCTGTGTCCTCCGGACACAGTGAAACACCGATCGTCGGACGGGACCTCTGTACGAGGTTCCGATCATGTGATCACTGATTGGCGAATCAGTGATCACATGCAAAGTAGTAAGCAAGATGTCAATTGTGACATCATTGCTTACTACGTGTGAAATCTGTGAATGATCACAGAGGTCACATGGTACAAGGCTATTCACAACAGCCTTGTACCATGTGACAAGCTGTGACCAATCACAGCTCACTCAGTACTTCTCAATGACTGCAAGAATGCAGACAGAGAGAAAGAGAAATGATTGCTTTTACATCCTATATGGGTGTAAAAGCAATCAGTGTAAAAAAAAAAAAAAATCTTCATCACCCCCCACAAGTAGTACGTGTCACCATGGTGACACTGTACTGCTAGGGTGACAGTATGTAAAAAAAAATAAAAATAAAATAATATAAAAAAAATAAAATAGAAATGTAAAAAAAAATGTTTAAAAATTATAATTTTTGGTTATAAACTAATTTGGATTTTTTTTTTTTTTTACTAAAAAAATAACGGAATAAATTTTGGCCAAGATTTATGATGAAATATTATTTATTTGCAAAATTTTATTAAAAAAAAAACACTTTTTTTCAAAATTTTTGGACTTTTTCATTTACATAGTAAAAAAAATTTAAATCCCAGCGGTGAATAAATACCACCAAAATAAAGCTTTATCTGTCTCAAAAAAATGGTAAAAAATTCATATGGGTACAGTATTGCATGACCGCGCAATTGTCATTCAAAGTGTGATAGCGCTGAAAGCTGAAAATTGCCCTGGACAGAAAGAGGGTAAAAGTGTCCGGTCTGGAAGTGGTTAAGACTTGAAAATTTTTCACAGACGCTCTCCATCCAATCTGACAGATCTTGGGCTATTTTGCAAGATGAACGGGTAAAGATTTCACTCTCTAGATGTGCAAAGCTGGTAGAGACATCCCCAAAAAGACAAATTGCAGCAAAAGGTGGTTCTACAAAGTATTGACTCAGGGGGCTGAATACAAATGTACGCCACACTTTTCAGATGTTTATTTGTACATAAATGTTGAAAACCAGTTATCATTTTCCTTCCATTTCACAATTGTGCCACTTTGTGTTGGTCTATCACATAAAATCCCAATAAAATACATTTATGTTTTTGGTTGTAACTTGACAAAATGTGGAAAATTTCAAGGGGTATGAATACTTTTTCAAGGCACTACATATCAGTATATATGTTAAAAGTTTGTTGTGGAGTGCTGGAGTTGTGGTATCACTTACCTTGGAAAGCACAGTAGGGATCATTTATATCACAGATCTGCACACAATTTTTTTTCTATATGTATATATTTGTTAATAATATTTTAGTAGTTTGTTTTTTGTATAGTTCTGACAGCGCAACACCCAGGGGCGGACTGACAACTCATGGGGCCCCCAGGCAATAGGGGATCATGGGGCCCCTGTGTCCTTGCCCAAATTCAAAAAAGCCTATGAAAAAGGTAACAGGGGCATCTCATGCGGCCCCCTACTGACTCTGGGCCCTCGGGCAGTGCAGGAGTTTCCAAATGGTCAGTCTGCCCCTGGCAACACCTTATACTGTTTTGTTATTGATTGATGTGGAAACACATGAAAGGCGTTAACAGCAGCTTGGTCTGGTATCTGTTGATTAGTAGTGTATTGTTGAATAACACCTTTATTAACATTTTAGTGGCAGCACAGAAGTAACCATTTATATATTAATGTATGGGGTGTGACATGTCTGATTAACAATTCCAACAACTCATTTATGCATAAGCAAAACACAAATTGTTGCCTTATTAGTACATCACAAGTAGAGTGAGTAACTATGAAAGTGACAGTTTAGGCAACCTTACTTGCTCCTGTAATCACTGGGCTCCTGCTGCCAGTACTGGGTCATGTGACTAATGCCACTGCAGTAGACAAGTGGAGTTTTCCTAAATGTCTGGGGGAAATCGATGTTCAGGCAGAGCCAGTCAATCAGTAGATCTGCCATTGCCCCCAGCATTCTTACCTCCATAGGCACATTCTGATGCTTTTTTTTTTTTTTAAATCCTCAGCAGCCCTCTGCGCTTTAACGCAAGTGAACAGCTTTAGAGTAAGACAGAGACAAAAATTGGTCGGTAGTTATTTATTGCCACACATAGACAGCCCAATGTAAACATTTGATGTACTTGTTGACAGGACATTTTACTGGCCATGTCTAGATTCAAGTAGAACACTTGTGACTTAACTTTTCCTAATAGAGCCATGAATTCAAAATATATCACCGTTAATCTTTAAGTGATATAACAAATCAGATTCACTGTTAAAATTCCTTTCTGTTCAGAAATTTTATGGGATCTCAGTTATTGTTAAAACATCCCAATATTATACATTCATTTACAGGTGTTGTGAAAATCCATACCACACAGCGTATATATACAAAGCACAGATAATACTATACAAAATTCCAGCCCAAATCGTTCATTTTAGTTTTAAGTAGAGCAGGGAAGAGTTGGAACGTCTGTCCATTTTTTTTATTGCTCCAGAACAACAAAGAGGCACTGAGAAATTTTAAACTTGTATGTGCTGTCAGATGAGGAAAAAACTCAAACAACCTCAATAACGATGGCGACGCTGCTTCCACACAACAAGGCTTCCTTCAAATGGCACCCAACCGTAGCTCAAACCATAGAATTAAAGAAAGGAGGTACAAGAGTCCAAGATAATTTTAATTATTAATAAGAAAAATATACAAATATCCAATGCCTTTCAGGGGCAACACCACTTCCCCTTCTTCAGGGCTTCACACAGGATAAAACTTGGATGGACTTGGCAGCTAGTTGTCACATTATTACTCCATGAGGATATTTTAATGCCATTAATAATATAGATCTGTGAAGTCACTATTTCCTCTAAATCCTTTCAAGTTTTGTCCTATGTTAAGTCCTGATGGAGTAACTTTGTTGCCCCGAAACACGTTGGTTGTTTTTATATACAGTTTTGCTCTGGCACTCCTTTCTGTATTTCTTTTTTTTTTTTTAATGCTACCTCTATTCCCCCTCACTTCTTGTCCAGAGTTGAAAAAGTTGTCACTGGGATATAAAATGAGGACACATCTCCAGCAGGGACACAAGCCACAATAATTTGTTAATGCTTTGTGCCTTTTGTAGAGACCTTTCCCCACTTCCTGTACTGGTGACAATGTTGGCTTTGGGATGGAAAGTGAGGCAAAATCTCCACAAAGTGGGCACAGAAAGCAATAACAAAAATTGTTCTAGAACGTCCTTGCTTTATTTAAAATAAAATAAAGGACATTTCTAAAAAATAAAATTATTCTGAGACCCCCATAGTTGTAAAATGATTTATCCAGACATCGATAAAATAAGGACAAAGAAAGTGGATAAAAATGCATAAATATTATAGACAGCTGTGTCAAGTTACTAAGACTAAAACAAGGAGGCTACAGTCATTGTAAGAGAATGTTCTGGGTCTCAGTGATTAGTTGCCTTCAAGGTGATATACAGAGGACCAGAGGTCTCCGTAAGAATTATCCTGGGACCCAGGTCTGTGCTTATTTTCTGCTCAGTTCTTTCCAAGCTTTGTAGCCGTAAGTTATATTCCTGAAGAAAAACATTCATGAGGCCCCAAACTTTTATCTCATCTCCTGTGTCAAGATCCAGGAATTATTTTAGGAAGCTAAAGACTGAAGTTAATTCAGAAGCCGATGAGGCCCATTCCAGTGCAGAGGAGAAAATCTAGTTTTAAATCTAATTTTTTGAGGCACGGTTTTTCCTGATGTTCCGTATTTGTGATGGAGAGGAAATTAGGATGTTGGATTGCTGACTGATAGCTACTCTGTTGGAGAAGGGCATTTCTGCTGGAATATTTTTATAATATGCAACCCTCATTCTAAAGCCAAGACAAACACAACCTGAGATACATTCTGCATGAGCCAAACCTTTGTTCTCCCGCAGCTTGGAAGAGATCCATTTATACCCATTGCTCCTTCAAGATCAATGGTGGGGCTCCATAGGCAACCAAATGACAATGGACAGTTCACAGAATGGTCAATGCAGAATAAGAATCCTGAGTTTGGCCCTTGAGGTTGTCAGTCTATAGCTGATACATTCATATTTTTGGAATTCTAAAAAAAGTAAACATTATATACTTGTATAATAATTTCCTTCATGTTCTACTAAGATTCCACAAATGTTTATTGGAAATAAAAGAACAGCATGAGTAGCCCAAGCGCCAATGCAAGGACTATAAAGAAGACGGTGGCGATCCATACATCATAACTCTGATTACTCAAGCTAGCTGGAGCTTCAGAAGGGATCATATTAGTCAGGTTCAGCATGTACCCCAGTGTCCAGCCAATGTCCGTGTTTGCAGCCTGTAGGAGAAGACAACAAACAAGGTTATGTATCTGTCCTACAGTTTACCCATTGTCTACTGTTTGTCATTCTACCAGAGCTCAGGGCTTGGATTTGTGTAACGGCCATGTAGGCCAGGATCATCAGTACACAGGCATTTCATTATAGTTCTAGGCTGGCTATGGACAGGAACAAGGGAGAGCTGGGAAACATTTAGCCTGGAAGGTAAACATATCCAAATGACAATTTCAAGGTAGGAATAATTTCTTGTATGATAAAGTAAGTGTACCACAGTGATTGGTGGACATGGTAGAAGGTGAGCGTTATCTTAAGGAACTGTTTTACTTTACCACACATATGGTAATATTGTACAAAGGTACCAGCCAAATTAAGCTGGCCATACACTAGTAGAATTATTCATTTTCAGAATGTTTGTTCAATTTTCTAATGGTTAGTGGTGTCAAATTAACAGTTAGTTTTCACTATAGTGAGGAAAAAATTAGGAGAAGAAATATATGAAAATTCTAACTGTGAATATGGTTTTTGTTTAGTAAAACTCATACATATTGTAATGAGCACATTCTAGGCACAAAAGAAACCTATTTAATATGTCAAGGATTACATTCAAGTAAAAGGTCTAGATGAAGTTTAAGGCTTTTGAACCAAATTAATTGATGATGGCAAGATTGAATTTTCTAAGATACCGACAGCATTTGCGATGAGGAGTGGAGTGTGGTCTGGGCAGTCCAACCCAAAGGGCAAACTTCATGAGAAGGTAAACGTAGTCCCTACTCTTTCCCTTCTGCACCAGAACCTTTCCCTACCACTAATGCTGTCCCCGACAGAAGGGTGACTTGTCCCTACACTAGCCACTTTCATAAAGCGTGCCAAAACCCAGGGGCAGGCACTTAAAAAGACTCTGTTTGACCCAAGATGGCCACCAGGGTCACCTAGGTCCAGCGCATCCAACTGGATTACTGCTCCAGGTGATGGAGGAAACCCTAGAGAAACCCAGTTTCTCTTGACTTCCTCCTGTAGCTGCATTGCTGCTACGGTTTGAGCACCATCTGTAGTGGAGAATATATACGGCACCTGCCTCCAAACTTTAGTACCATAAGTTTGGTGGGGCAGCCATTGTTTGTTGTAGCAGTCATCTAGGAAAATTGAATCCACCCAATCACTATTTCTTCTGAAAACAATCTGCAAGGCTATCTGATGAAAGTTTTTCAGCAGAAATTTGGATTTTGTCCAATCCAAATGGAGCTAGATGGGTAAAGTTAGAGAAAGCCTACATCTGTTAAGGCCATGTCAGACAGACAATTCCACTGCAGACAACTTCACCAATGGCAAAATACATTTACCCTATGGAATCACTACTTTACTGCCCAGATCACTGCAGATCACAAGCAAGGGAGCGATTCAATCCCAAAAGGTAGGTGGTCTGTTAGTGGTCCTGTCCCTGGTGAGTTCTCTTACCATATTGTATCAGCCGTTCACTTGGTTAGGAATAGTTGTCTGAGATTCCATCATTGTAATAACTAGGGAATGAAGGTTTAACACATGGATAACAGTAAATATACAATAACAGCACATCTCAGGCCAGTGAGGAAAAGTCAGCTTGAAGCAGCCTGCAGTGGTGGGGCTGTACGGAAAAAGGTGAGCTGCCTGCCCTGTTTTTCCTTGAAAGACATCCCAGAAGTGCTCTCAGGAGACTAAATATATGCAAAAGAGTAGTGCAACGCTTAATCACACAATCACATAAAATCCCAAAATGACAGATGAATATTATTATTAGTACTGTATATGCTCTTAGATATATTAGAGTGACTTGTAGTGCCACAAACAACAATAAACATGACCCCCCTCACTCCCACTCTATACTGTGACAAGTGGATATAAGTAATCAAGGTGGGTAAATGCAATTCATAAGATGGTAAGTAATGGTGCTCAATACAGTAAAAGTTCATGCATTGTGCGTGATCACACAAAACTTCCGGTGCTGGTGAGTGACTCTCCTCCTATGGCTGAATTGCCCCCTCACCTCCACTCTGCGGCCCACTGGGCCTATGCACCTTCAAGATCACAAAAGGATCTTTCCTCCAATGCTGTCAGGTAGTCTCCTGCAGACCTCTCATCAAATGGGGATGATATTCTGGGTATACTGGCTCCTGGTCTCAGCTGGGTCTCCCACTCATCCAGGTAATCCAAATATAAGGAGATACTCTGATAGTGTAGTATGCCAAAGCAAAGTGCTTTATTTGTAAGTTCATAAAATGGCACTTACATCAAGGTGTCACAATCCACTGCTCTCCCCCACATGCATGGGTGTACTGCATGGGTATTTTCTGCCTGTTGCTGGGTGAGCTAAGATGGCGTCACCGCGGTCCGGATGCTGCGTGACCGCGTATCTACGCATTACGTCACCGTACATGTGACTTCGTCAGGATCACTGGTCTCTCAGGAGACTGGTGTCACTTGATGCACATAAGATCTTAGAAGTGGATCCTACCTTTGGCATCATCTGCAAGCTGCATATACTACTGTGCAGTCCTGCCATTGGCCATGGCACGTAGACTGCAAAAGCTGACTTTTCCTAACTGCCCTGAGATGTGCTGTTGATCTTCTGATTTTTGTGGGTTGCTTCAATGCTTTTATTTGTTTTCTGATATCTGTAGTACATAGTCCCTCCATTTTGGAACTGCAGAACCATGCACTTCTTTTTTATCTAGAGAAATTATTGGACTCCTGTGCAGTTGTTATCCCTGCAGATTTTGGATGCTGATTGCCTTTCTTTGGCTATATATGGCTAAAAGTAAATTGATCCAAAATCTTTAAAAAAGATGGGTCTGCAATACTTGTGAAAAGTTCAAAAAGGAATAAACACAACACCTGTTTCATGAAGCTGATGGAATTCCAGTTGCTTTCATTGAACTTGTAAGCGTCCTGCAGTAGAGTGAGGATGTAGTTTGCATTGGCGCAGTAATCCCTCAAACGATCCGTCTTCGCCTTTGGGAAAGTTGCCTGAAGCTGAACATAACCAGTACAGATACATTTACATGTGTATGATAACTGGCAGAAAAAAAAAACACTCTTCTCTGCTGCAAGATTTAAAGTGTTACTAAACCCAGGACCCTGCATTCACTATATCTGGTCTCCCACAGTACACAAAACATGGGAATGCAATTATTTTAGTAAATATAAACTGCTAAATACCTTTTCTCATCAGCAGTATATAGCAGTATTGTGACTTCTATCAGTGTCCAGCCGAGTACTGGTTAATCTTGAAGGAGGAGCTTTCATTCTCCTCTGACTGTCTTGTGAGGCTGCATAACCCCTGACCTGATTGGCCCTCTGCTGATCACATGCAAAACAAAAAAAAAAACCTCTAGGAATACACACCAAACAGACCATCTGCAGACTTGCCACTGCTGCTCTAACTTTGGAAGATGGATTGGGGACAGTAAAAGAAGGGGAGAATCAGAGAAGACAGGACCAAACAGTTTTTTTATACAATGCAGAGGATTAACCCCTTAGGTTCCACAGAGGGTATAACAAGAATGCATTACTGCATATACAGAATGGTTTTACTGTTGTGGGTTTACTAACACTTTAAAGCTCAACTCCAGACAAAATCGTTTTGTTTTAGATTAGGGTTAAAAACCTATGTCATGTTTTACTGCTGCCTGTGTGCCCCATGGGGTAAATGTAAACTCCCTTTCAGGAAACACCAGGACAGGAAGTGGTAGATGGGGACAAAGACAACAACCCATAGCAGAGACTCAAGGCTAAGGTTTGGAACTTCTGTCTTGCTCTGTATTGCTCTTTTTTGTCTTCCTGTATCAGAGACACCCATTCCACTTTTTATTTGTTCTGGTTGCATATCATTGGGACAGGAAGTAAAGGGAAATCTTCACAAAAACTGACTGTAATTGGGCATTACACAACAGCTCTTGAAGTGGATAGCTATACCTTAGCTTTAGGAAGGGTATGAATTGTTAGAACGTCTTTACTGCTGCTTGTGTCACCAATGGGGAGATTTCTCCTCACTCTCCCCACCACGACACACTGATATAGGACCTTAGGGGGCATATGGTAATAAAGACACTTATTTATAAAGATTAGGGAAGAGATAGAACCTCTGTTGGGTTTTTATCTCTGTTTCTGTCTCCACTGGGGACATTCTCTCCTGATTTTCTATCTCCATTGACAAAAGGAAGAATGGAGAAATCTCCTTGCAGAGGACATAGAGAAGCTCTTACAACTTGCTACTGTAGCACCCTCTTAGTTAGGTTGCTAAGTGATAGGAAAATTTAGTTTTTGGCTGGGTGGCAGTCGTCCCAGTTTGATTTGTATAGGTGTGCATTTTGTTTCTCCCTAATCTCAATAGGATGTGGTCTCTCACTGTTGCCAGTAGGGGTCGCTGCACCACTGGCAATAGTATGAGGGTTTACTGCCAGGCTGAGTTATGAATATTCATATTTCCCCCAACCATTCCAGTGGGACATTCAAGCCACTGATGCATGATGGGGGAGGATGGAAATATTTGGGGAAGCCATGTGCTCTCTCTCGCCTCAGGATGAGGCCCGAGAAGATGCTGCTGGGCTGTCTATGCTGCTGGGCCCAGGATCATGGTTGGGGTCTAGCATGCACTGGGTGTACAACTGTACACATCTGGTCTAGGAGGCTCACCAGCTGGGAAAACTGCCATCTCTGAAGGCCTTGCTGCTGATCCATTTTGCTGTTCATCAGGGTCCTGGCTGTGGCAGAGCCAGGTGGCTCATACCTGCAACTACAGAGACAACTTTTGAGACTTAACCCTTGAGGATCCAGTCTACTATAACTTCACTAGAAGGCAACAGGAAACTAAGTCTGGGCAGTGATTCCCTGGCATTGTTTGCTGATCTGGATGATGTTTGGTGCTGCTAAGATATAAGAGTTAGTGTAGCTTTATGGGGTACAGCTCTCTGTGTCCCCAATATGGCCTTTCCTTCCAGTCAAAGGGATCAATGAGTGCTACTTACAAGACAAGGAAGGTAATGTCCCCTTGCATTTATTGGAGTATCCCATGTCCTATACCACTCCCCAATTTCAAGCTTATTCAGCATTGGGCAGCACAGTGGCTAAATGGTTAGCACTTCCACTTGGTAGTACTAGGGTCACCGGTTCAAATCCCAACCACGGCACCACCTGCCTGGAGTTTGCTTGTTCTCCCTGTACCTGCGTGGGTTTCCTCCGGGGACTCCGGTTTCCTCCCACACTCCAAAGACATGCTGGTAGGTGAATTGGATTCTGTCTAAATTGGCCCTAGTATGTGTATGGAAGGTAGGGACCTTAGATTGTACGCCCCTTGAGGGTCAGGGACTGATGTGAATGTACAATATATATGTAAAGCGCTGCATAAATTGACGGTGCTATATAAGTACCTGTAATAAATAAATAAATAAATAAAATCTAACAAGGCATCCCCATAGACTGGTTACTGATCCTGTGTGCATGAAGTCGCTAATGTTTGTGTGTGCTGGCAGCCTCTGCACAATCAGGAGAAGAACTCAGGTTATTATTGTCATCATCTGTTTGACTTTATTTATATCATATCCTCATCAATCAGTGGCCCCCGATGGGGGTACCACTACACCACTCTCAATCGACCACACTGGAATTTTGGCTAAACCGGGTGTCGGCAACCCGCGGCTCCAGAGCCGCATGCGGCTCTTTTTCACCTTTCCTGCGGCTCCGGAGCACACTGTCCACCAGGTGACAGGCAATAGGGTCGGCAAGCCGCGGCTCTTTTAATGCAGCTCTTCTGTGTGCCGGGCGCCCACTGGCAAACATTGGCTGTCAGGATGTAGGCGGGGCAGCGTGACGAACTCCTCTCCTCTCACAGTCCGCCCTGAAGACCAGAACGGCACGGGAACACAGCGAGAGGAACGCGCGGAGCAAAGGTAAGTGAATTGACACAATATGGGGAATGAATTACTATAGGGGGGATGAATTACTATAGGGGGGATGAATTACTATGGGGGATGAATTACTATGGGGGATGAATTACTATATGGGGGATGAATTACTATGGGGGATGAATTACTATATGGGGGATGAATTACTATGGGGGATGAATTACTATGGGGGATGAATTACTATGGGGGATGAATTACTATATGGGGGATGAATTACTATGGGGGATGAATTACTATGGGGGGTGAATTACTATATGGGGGATGAATTACTATGGGGAATGAATTACTATATGGGGGATGAATTACTATGGGGGATGTATTACTATATGGGGGATGAATTACTATGGGGGATGAATTACTATATGGGGGATGAATTACTATATGGGGGATGAATTACTATATGGGGGATGGATTACTATGGGGGATGAATTGCTATATGGGGGATGAATTGCTATATGGGGGATGAATTGCTATATGGGGGATGAATTACTATGGGGGATGAATTAATATAGGGGGGATGAATTACTATGGGGGATGAATTACTATAGGGGGGATGAATTACTATGGGGGATGAATTGCTATATGGGGGATGAATTGCTATATGGGGGATGACTTACTATGGGGGATGAATTACTATATGGGGGATGAATTACTATGGGGGATGAATTACTATATGGGGGATGAATTACTATGGGGGATGAATTACTATATGGGGGATGAATTACTATGGGGGATGAATTACTATATGGGGGGATGAATTACTATATGGGGGATGAATTACTATGGGGGATGAATTATTATAGGGGGGATGAATTACTATAGGGGGGATTAATTACTATGGGGGATGAATTACTATATGGGGGATGAATTACTATATGGGGGATGAATTACTATGGGGGATAAATTGCTATATGGGGGATGAATTACTATATGGGGGATGAATTACTATATGGGGGATGAATTACTATGGGGGATGAATTACTATATGGGGGATGAATTACTATGGGGGATGAATTACTATATGGGGGATGAATTACTATAGGGGGGATGAATTACTATATGGGGGATGAATTACTATGGGGGATGAATTACTATATGGGGGATGAATTACTATAGGGGGGGGTGAATTACTATGGGGGATGAATTACTATATGGGGGATGAATTACTATGGGGGATGAATTACTATATGGGGGATGAATTACTATATGGGGGATGAATTACTATGGGGGATGAATTACTATGGGGGATGAATTGCTATATGGGGGATGAATTACTATATGGGGGATGAATTACTATATGGGGGATAAATTACTATGGGGGATTAATTACTATATGGGGGATGAATTATTATATGGGGGATGAATTACTATATGGGGGATGAATTACTATATGGGGGATTAATTACTATGGGGGATGAATTACTATATGGGGGATGAATTACTATGGGGGATGAATTACTATATGGGGGATGAATTACTATGGGGGATGAATTACTATATAGGGGATGAATTACTATATGGGGGATGAATTACTATATGGGGGATGAATTACTATATGGAGGATGTATTTTCAGTTTTAAAAATGTTTCTCTCAAAATAAATTTCAATCGTGGTTTTGGCGAGATTTGGCTCAGTTGAAAAAAAAGGTTGCCCACCACTGACCTAAGGCTATGATTGTGATTATGACGATACACTGTGGCCCTGATTAACCCTTTGCTTACTGGGCCCTTAAACCCCCTTCATGACCAGAGTGCTTTTTGCAATATATGCAGTGTCGGATTTGTTTTAAATGTTGCAATGGTTTTGCGGCTCCCAGTCTTTTTTTCCCTCTCGGAAACGGGTCCAAGTGGCTCTTTATGTCTTAAAGGTTGCAGACCCCTGGGCTAAACCAAAACACCCCATTGACCACTGAGGTCTCAGAGCCAGTACGCCTACCCACCTCAGTCCAGTCCCGTGCACAGTATGTCTGGATTGTTCTCCTCACTGTTGGCAAATCCTGTCCAGATGTTAAGTTTAAAAAATCAAATGTATAAAAGAAAGCCGAAAATGCCTAAAATAGGGAATAAGAGAAAAGATTTTGAATCACACAACATAGGAACTGGCGGGATTTTAATTATGTCTTCTGCACTGGTAAAGTCCAATTTGAGTGAATTGACTTACAAAAAAATTCCCAACAACAGGAGGCTGATAAACTCCCTGGAAAGAACAGAATTCCTTCCCGGTACAGCTGCTGAAGTTATAGATGGTTTTGATCAGGTCTTGGCACTGTACGGCATTCCCAGTACCGGTGATGGTGATATCTTGCCCTAGAGGAGATGGGGCAGACTTATTGGTACATGGGCTGTTATAGAGAGAAGCTTGTGGGATGGTGACTTGGTATCCTGCCGGGTAGCAGGGGACACTCACAGGCTGACTTAAGTCTTTTCCCTACAAATAAAAAAAAATGAGTGTTATTGTAGTTATAGAGAGTTTAGAGATGTGCCCGACGGAAACATTTGTTTCATTCCAGATTTGTTCGTTAACTTAATAATTTCATTTAATCATATTCATCATTTTAGAATTGTTCGTTTTCGGAATTCATTTCGTATACTTCGATACGTTTCATATATTTGTTATTTTTCAATCAATTTCGAAATGGAAAAATGCTGCAATAAATATAGTAAGATATAAAAATGAAATAAGAGGATTCCTTCTTTAGGCTGCTTTATAGAAAAGAATAGAAGGAATAGAATAGAAAAGATACTATTCTTTATTCTATTCTATTTTTTCTATTCTATGGTTTTCTATTCTGTTCTTTTATATTCCTTTATTTTCTATTCTATTGTATTCTGTTTTATTCTATTCCTTTATTTTCTATATTATTCTATTCTTTCCAATTTAATTATATTTCTTTCTATTCTATTCTTTTATATTCTATTCTGTTCCTTTATTTTCTCTTCTTTTCTATTCAATTCTATAACGTATCCTAAAGAAGGAATTATCCTCTTATTTCACTTTTATACCTTATTGTATTTATTTCAAAATGTTTCCATTTTTAATTAATTTGGATAGCTTGTTGTGTATATAATTTATTACAGATCCTAACACCAGGAAAAGAAATGGGATAGTTTAGGTAAATGCTCTTGTTGGGAAAAAGAGACAACAATAACAACCAGATGGTTATTTTTTAACCCTTTAAAGCCTTTTTCTACTCTGTGTAAAAACAAAAAAATGCTTCACGTGGAGTTGAGTTTTGAAGATGAATTTTAGTGAATATCTTTTCTTTTCAAAGATGAATACCAGCTATAGTCATTTTTACATAGATACATTGGTCCAGCTTGGTCTGATCTAAGTATTTATGTACCCAACCTGTAGGATAACCATGAAAGCTGAAAATCGCTTTAGTAGCTACCACTACTGCAGCGATCTTCACTGGCTTCCAGGTCCTTTGCTGAGCAACTGTCCTGCTTTTTACTGAACACAGGAGGTTGCTGTGACTGGAGGAAAAAGACCTTTGATATATCAGTTGCTGTGATTACTAGCAAACATCCGGCTGCTATATGTTATGGGCATGTTACTGCCTTCCTATGCCTGATGAAGTCACACAGGGTGTGACGTAACGTGTAGGACGGAAGTGTGGTGATCTTTTCCAGTTGTGGGTGGACGTCAGCCATCATGGTACACTCAATCTCTATATACAAGCTGTCAATGGGTTCAGCCCGTTTTACTTGTGAGTGTATTTTCAGCTTACTTGTTGATATTATTCAATTAGTTACTGCACCATGGGAAGCCTTCTTTGTTCCTTATCTCTTGAGTGCTAACTTACCCAAATGAGACACAGAAAGTGACATATACCATCTGCCTGTGGGGACATGCGGAACCTGGGATTCTGGATGCCGACTGAGCGTATACGGACCTATATAATATATAGGTCAGTTAATAAGGTGAGTGTGCAGGCCTGAAGGTGATGGAACACAGTGGTGTCTGCTCAGAAATACAGCGGTGAAAGGGGAATTTCCAATGGAATCAACTTTGGAGTTCTGAATACTTGCTGGGACTCTTATTTATCACACAAAAATTCTATCATTTCTTTTCATTTTGGCTAGTGTTGAAGGTTACCACCTTAGTGGGGTGTTTATTTTTATCTTTTACTGTATAGAATTATTGTGATATTCACTCATTTCATTTGCACATGCAGTCATGTTTTATGTACTGCCTATATTTTAGACTCTATATGCCTATTTATGCAGTATTTCTGGCACCTTATGGGGTTTGATTGCTGGGGGTGTTTATGTATAGTATTTTATTTTTTTATGTATTGACTATTGAATAATATTATTGGACTCATCATTATTTCATTATTATTCACAACTTAAGGGTTTTACTGTGGATTATTTAGCAATATTTTTTTTGGATTGTCTATTGCAGGGGTCTCCAAATTTTCTAAACAAAAGAGCCAGTTTACTGTCCTTCAGAGTTTAGGGGGACCAGTCTGTGGCCATTGGGAGTTGAAATTGTCCTGGTGGACAGTAGGAGTAAACAATGTATCTTTGGTATTAGGGGGAGAAATAGTGCCCCATTGTCGGTGTCAGTGGGAGGAATAGTGCCCTATCATTGGTGTCAGTTTGAGTGCCTCATCATTGGTGTCAGCGGGAGGAATATTGCCCTGTTGTTGGTGTCAGTGGGAGAAATAGGGCCCCATTGTTGGTGTTAATGGACCCCATTGCTGATGTCAGTAGCAGGAATTATGCCCCATTGTCGGTGTCAGTGGGAGGAATAGTGTCTTGTATCAGTGGGAGGAAAATTGCCTCAAGGGCCAGATAAAGGCAAGCAAATGGCCACATCCGGTCTCCAGGCCGCAGTTTGGAGACCACTGGTCTATTGCAAGGTATGGAGGTTTGATGGGCTGGTGGTTGTTTATGTTTATTCATGATTTTATGAGAGTATGGAACTCATTTAGCCCATTAACACCTTGATATTATTTGTAGGTTAGACACCCTGGAGGTGGTTTATTGGAAGATCATTCATTATTGTGTGTCTAGCACTATTTGAATTTATTTCTTTTAAAACAGTGCAAAACTAACTTTTTTTCACTAGACCTTTCATTCATCCACACGTCTAGGATCCAGAATGAGCTTAAAAGTTGCTCAGGTAAGCGACAGGTGCACTTTAGGCTCTGAAACCATGAACGCATCCCAGTTTCCCAAGCTGAGTTCAAAGTTTCTTTATAAATATACATCATTTCCTTTTCATGAGCATACTTCCTGACACTCCAAACGCAAGGACTCTGAGATTCCTTTATGCAGCACAGTGGATAAATGGTTAGCATTTCTGCCTGGCAGTCCTAGGATCGTTGGTTCAAATCCCAACCACACCTCCTGCCTGGAGTTTGCATTTTCTCTCTGTGCCTGTGTGGGTTTTCTCCAGGTACTCCAGTTTCCTCCCACACTCCAAAGACATGCTGTTAGGTTAATTGGCTCCTGTCTAAATTGGCCCTAGTATGTGTATGTATAAATGTGAGTTAGGGACCTTCAACTGTACGCTCCTTGAGGGTTAGGGACTGATGTGAATGTACAATATATATGTAAATCGCTGTGCAAATTGACGGTGCTAAATACCTGTAATAAATAATAACGTAGCGTGTTTGGTAGCTTGGCTCTGCAAGGTTGCTCACCTCCACCGCTTTGACCAACATCTGTTTCAGGGCCTGGTTCTGTCCATAACACAGGAAGCTGTGTGTGTAGATACTGTAGGGGAAGCCATAAAGCTTAAAGTCAGCCCTCTGCCCTGGGTCTGCGATTTCCACCTTTGGAATGAAGCTGATTTGTGTGGAAGCTCCACCGAGGTCCAGAGCACCGTAAATCTTAGAGGATATTGGGTGAACCCAACGACCACTGAAGGAATACTGCAGAAAGACATTGATATATAGTACACCGAGAAGTACCTATAGCTCCATACACTTTAATACTATCACATAATGCATGTGCACAGCAGTTACCTACAAGATTGTCTGAAAAGACTGAGTGCAGATCATGGACAGAACAAAGATTTTTCTAAACCATGCAATATCAATATCATATTTCAAGCAAAAATGATAATTTCATCGGTTGAACAACCCTACCACACACAATGCAATTTTCAAATGATCAGTTTGAAAAAGTACAGTTGCAAGAAAAAGTATGTGAACCCCTTAGGATTACGTGGAGTTTTGCATGAATTGGGCATAAAATGTGCTCTGAACGTCATCTAAGTCACAACAATAGAAGAACACAGTCTGCTGAACATAATACTACACAAACATTAGATGTTGCCATGGTTTAATTGCACATAACATGTAAACAGTCACAGTGCAGGGAGAAAAATGATGTGAACCTTTGGACTTAATAACTGGTTGACCCTCCTTTGGCAGCAATAACCTCAACCAAACGTTTCCTGTAGTTGCAGATCAGACCTGCACAACGATCTGGAGTAATTTTGGACCACTCCTCTTCACAAAACTGTTTCAGTGTAGCAATATTCTGGGGATGTCTGGTGTGAATCGCTCTTAAGGTCATGCCACAGCATTTCAATCGGGTTGAGGTCAGGACTCTGACTGGGCCACTCCAAAAGGCGTATTCTGTGCTGTTGCAGCCATTGTTTTGTTGAATTACTTTTATGCTTTGGGTCATTGTCCTGTTGCATCACCCATTCTCTGCAGAGCTTCAATTGGCGGACAGATGGTCGTACGTTTTCCTGCAAAATGTCTTGATAAACTCTGGAATTCATTTTCCCAGCAATGACAACAATCCGTCCAGGCCCTGAGGCAGCAAAGCAGCCCCAAACCATAATGCTCCCTCAGCCATGTTTTACAGTGGGGATGAGGTTTTGATGTTGGTGTGCTGTGCCTTTTTTTCTCTACACATAGTGTTGTGTGTTCTTCCCAAACAACTCAATCTTGGTTTCATCTGTCCACAGTATATTTTGCCAGTAGTGCTGTGGAACATCCAGGTGCTCTTTTGCAAACTTCAAACGTGCTGCAATATTCTTTTTGGACAGCAATCGCTTCCTCCGTGGTGTCCTCCCATGTACTCCATTCTTGTATAATGTTTTCCTTATTGTAGATGTGTCAACAAAAATATTAGCATGTGCCAGAGATTTCTGTAGGTCTTTAGCTGACACTCTGGGATTCTTCTTTACCTCATGCAGCATTCTGCGCTGTGCTCTTGCAGTCATTTTTACAGGACGACCACGCCTAGGGAGAGTAGGAACAGTGCTAAACTTTCTCCATTTGTAGACAGTCTGTCTTACCGTGGACACATGAACATCAAGGCTTTTGGAGATACTTTTGTAACCCTTTCCAGCTTCATGCAAGTCAACAAGTCTTGATCATAGGTCTTCTGAGAGCTCTTTTCTGCAAGGCATGGTTCACATCAGACAGTGCTTCTTGAAACCAGTAAACCCAAAACAGGTGTGTGTTTTTTAAGGGCAGGACAGCTGTCAGCAACACATCCAATATCATCACACTGATTGGAGTCAAGGTTGGCTCACTCCTGGCTTCAATTAGCTCTGGGAGAAGTCATTAAGCTAGGGCCTCACATACTTTTTCCTCCCTGCACTGTGAATGTTTACATGTTATGTGCAATTAAACCATGGCAACATCAAATGTTTGTGTAGTATTATGTTCAGCAGACTGTGTTCTTCTATTGTTGTGACTTAGATGACGTTCAGAGCACATTTTATGCCCAATTCATGCAAAACTCCACGTAATCCCAAGGGGTTCACATACTTTTTCTTGCAACTGTAAATTAAAATGTTGACTCCCACCATTACATTGAGTATGGGAACTACAAGGTGTCATATTCTATCATTCAATTTTATTTTAAAGTTTAATCAAGTTCAATCAATAATGCATGAGCAATATCTAAAGACAACGGTAATAAACTCAATTCCATAAAGTATATTCAAAACAAAATTTATTCTACACTATGTTTGGCATCATGCCTTGCTGTAAAGATTTTTCCTAAAGTGGTATTTCACCCAAAATCGAACATGTATTATATTGCACAATGTCTTGTAAATCATACAAGCATTTTCAGTGCTCAGAATGTTGGTGGAATGTAGTCTTTGTGCAAGTCCATAGGTGGCGAATCAGTGATGGGAAGATGGATCGGATCTGCGTTAACACAAGGTGTCACCCCTTCAGAGGTGGGCGGTCCCTGTCGTGCACACGCAGCCTGGTTCTTCCCCTCCCTGCGTCCCCGTCTCACCCCCCGAACCGGGTGACACCAACCCTAGGGACGCCCCTGAGTTTACCAATTTTTGTTTTTCAATGGTCTAAGCTGTCCTGCAGATGTAGCAGTTACAGGGTTGAGACATACCATTTAACACTGATAGGGGTGCCTACAATGATCGGCTTTTATTTATGTAAAACCTTTTACCCCCACTTAAAAAGTTTTAGCTGGAGTTTAGTTTCAATTAGCTGGAGTTTAGTTTCAATTTACTAGTGTATCTAAATCTGTTAATACATCTAATACTTCCCTCCCTCCAGAATGACAATGCTGCTGTTCAAAGGTGCCCCTGTGCTCCTTCATCCAGAGTGGAGGCACTCTAGTACAGGAGGTGTGCTACTGGCCAGAGCACCAGATAAAAACAGAAGGGGAAAAGGCCTAAAAATAAATCTAATGATTGGAAAGCTGCAACGTATTACATTTTTGGTTTTAGGTTTCATACCGCTTTAAGGTGGAACTATACTCACCTCCACTCCAGCAATGTTTTTTCCATTAGCACCCTTGCTGACTGCTGACATCTTTGACTGTTTTTCTCCCTATTTAACGATCAACTCTTTTGATTGACCAGGTCAGGATGAGGTCACTCCCGCGCATGCCAAGCTCGGTGTATGTAGCAAGCCCGCAGGTAAGAAAACTTGCTGACATCTCCTAGATTGTAAGCTCGAAAGAGCAGGGCCCTCGAACCCCTCGTGTATTGTATTGTTACTGTATTGTCTCATGTACTGTCCCCCACTATAATGTACAGCGCAAACGCAAACCTTTGGCGCTATATAAATACTGTATAATAATAATATTATGTTTTTTCTGCACTAAAAATCTTGCCTCTTTTTTTTATTACGTAAAGTTCCACTTTAAGCAAATTACATTGCAAATTTCTAACTTGGAGAGCCTGCCAGTAAAAAAACATTTTTGTTGCAGATTGACAATGCTAATCTGCTGAGCTTTGTCAGCCAGCTGTGTGCATTCCCCTAGTTGGCCTTTAGCTTGTCCTTTAGGGCCAGTTCACACTACATGCGTTTCAATTGTTTGTTTCTGCATCCAAAATGCACGGAAAGTAGGTTATATGGCTGTCAATGTCACAGTTCACATCAGTGCTTGCAGTTCCAGTGCGTTCTGGTTGGAGAAAAAAAAGTAGACCATGCTGCATTTTTTCTGCACCGAACAGCACTGGAACATGATAAAATGCACCGGAATGCACCAAAAATGCACTGGAATGCACATGTCCCTATTTTAATTGAAGAAAAAGAGAGGAGAAAAAATGAACTGGAATGCATAAAAAAATGCACTAGAATGCATCAAAAACGCACCGGAATGCGTAAAGCGCATTCAAAACAGCACATGTGGAAACACATCCGGAACACATCTGGACTGCGTTTCTATAATGTGAACCCGCCCTTAGGCTAGGTTCACACCTATGCAGGTTGCGTTTGAGCCATTTTTGCATTACATTTTGTGTTGCGTTTTTGCCATGTTTTTGATGTGTTTTTGCATTTTGCAGGGTTTTTTTTTAATTTCTTTAAATTTTTCTTGTTTAAAATGCAAAACATATAAAAAAAAACTTTGGCAAAAATGCACTACATGCTTTTGTGCAGCGTTTTCATTGAAGTCTATAGAACCACAATGCAACTTTTTGCGTTCAAAAAAGTCCCTGACCCTTTACAGTAAACAAACCGGGTGAAAACGTGCAGATGTGAACACATCCCATAGGAAATCATGTTAAATGGACTGTACTGCATTTCTGCAAAATGCTACAGAAAACATTTATTATTATTATACAGTATTTATATAGCGCCAAAGGGTATGCTCAGGGCTGTACAGTAGCAAGGGGTCAGAACATGAGACAAGACAGTAACAATACAATACACGAAGGGTTCAAGCTTACAATCTAGGAGGGAGGGGAAGGTGGTACAGGAGGAAATGGCTGTGGCATATGGAGTGGTGGGAGGAGTGGAGGAGGTTAGGTGAGGTCAGGTGTTAGGTGAGGTTGGGGTAGGCTTCCCTGAAGAGGAGGGTTTTCAGGGTGCGCCTGAAGGTGAGGAGGGTAGGTGACAGTCTGATGGATTGGGGTAGGGAGTTCCAGAGGATGGGGGAAGTCCTAGAGAAGTCCTGCAATCGGGCGTGGGAGGAGGAGACCAGGGAGCTAGAGAGTAGGAGTCCTGTGAGGAGCGGAGGGTAGTATTTGGGTATCAGGTCAGGTCGGTTATGTAGTTAGGGGCAGCGTTTTGAATGGCTTTGTAGGTCAGAGTTAGCAGTTTGAATTTGATGCGTTGGGCAATTGGGAGCCAATGAAGAGATTGGCAGAGGGGGGACGCAGAAGTGGAGCGGTTGGTGAGGTGGATGAGTCTCGCCGCTGAGTTCAGGATCGACTGGAGTGGGGATAGCGTTCGTTTGGGTAGGCCAGTGAGAAGGGAATTGCAATAGTCCAGGCGTGAGATGATGAGGGAGTGTACGAGTTGTTTGGTGGTGTCTGGGGTGAGGAATGTGCGTATCTTGGAGATGTTGCGGAGGTGGAGCCTGCAAGATCTAGATAGCAGTTGGATGTGGGGTAGGAAGGAGAGGTGGGAGTCCAGGGTGACACCCAGGACTTTGGCGTGTGGGGAGGAAGAGATGCTGGCATTGTTAGTAGTGATGGAGAGGATGGGGGGGGGCGCGGGGGGGGGGAGACCAGGAGCTCGGTTTTGGATAGGTTAAGTTTGAGGAAATAAAGCGACATCCAGTCTGATATGTCGTTTAGGAGGTGGGCGATGCGAGCGGAGAGTGAGGGGGTGAGGTGGGGGGGGGGTGGAGAGGTAAATTTGGGTGTCGTCGGCATAGAGGTGGTAATTGAAGCCGTGGGAGTGAATAAGTTTGCCAAGGGAGGAGGTATAGATGGAGAAGAGGAGGGGCCCGAGGACAGAGCCTTGGGGGACCCCGACAGAGGGGGAGAGGGAGGGGGAGGTGGCAGTGTTGTAGGTGACGCTGAAGGAGCGTTGGGAAAGGTAGGAGGAGAACCAGGAGAGAGCAGTGTCCCTGATGCAAAGGGAGTGCAGTTTGGCAAGGAGGAGAGGGTGGTCAACAGTGTTGAAGGCCGCGGAGAGGTCGAGGAGCAGGAGGATAGAATAGTGGCCATTGGCTTTGGCGGTTAGCAGGTCGTTGGTGATTTTAAGTAGGGCGGTTTCGGTGGAGTGCAGGGGACAAAAGCCAGACTGTAGGGGGTCAAGGAGGTTGTTATCAGTGAGGTGGGCGCTTAGGCGATTGTAGGCCAGGCGCTCAAGGAGCTTGGAAGTGAAAGGCAGCAGGGAGATGGGTCTAAGGTTGTTAAGGTTAGTGGGGTCAAGGGAGGGTTATTTGAGTATGGGGGTGATGTGTGCATGCTTTAGAGGGGAGAGGAAGGTGCTGGTGGAGAGGTGTGAACCTAGGGTTATGTCTATCTAGAAAAAGCTATGCACCAATGGAGGGAGCATCAGACCAAAATGATAAAAAGAGTCCATATGAATTTATTGGTTTACACTAAAAACCATCCAACGTATTTTGAGAGCCAGAAGAAGCTCCCCCTTCATCAGCTAATTGCTGGACTAGGACGGTTACTAGACACCAGCATTTTCATGAGCAATCAAGCATGATACTGCTGGCTAGCATTTCTTATTCCAACAATTCACTGATAAAAGGGGAATTTCTTCAGGCCCCCAAAACACATTGGATGCTTTTTAGTGTAAACCAGTGAATATACTTGGACTCTTTACTCCTTTGGCCTTATGTTCCTTCCATTGGTGCATGTTTTTTTCTAATTACCTGCTGGGTACCCATAGGAAGGTAGCCATGTCTGTTGTGAGCAGCCTAACCTGAGCCAGTGAGCTCTCAATGCCTTCTCACTACTCATATCAAAGTCGTGCATTCTGCATTTTACATTCTGCTAAATCGTATCTGGGTAGATCATAACAACATCACAAAACAAGAGCTCCTGCCTTCATAAAGGACTCCAAGAGGTAATTGATGGTTATCCAACCATAGGACCCTTCCTCCTTTCCGCTGATAATTAGAGCTCCCCGGAAATCAACAGGGTAACTGCTGATGGTCTTTGAGACTTCGGATAGCACCAAGTCTGATGCGGTTTTATTTTCAAGCCTAGAAACCAGAAAGAATGGGAAATCAAATGTAAATGTTAAAAATATTATTGTATGCATCCTACAGTTACAATGTTTATTTCCATGCTGCTACTACCTATGAAAGACAACCGGTTTGGTAGACAGAAATACAAATATGCTTTGTCAATTTGCTTTCCAAGATGCAGATTTCAGGGACTGTTGTCTGTTAAAGCAGAAATCCAGTGAGAACGCACCTACAAAAACTGTAGCTGCTGACTTTTAAAAAACAGACACTCACCTGTCCTACGATCCAGTGGTGTCCTCACCCCAGCCGGGTTCATTGGCTGTCCTCTGGCCCTGGCATCTTAAAGTGTTACTAAATCCAGGACCCTGCATTCCCTATATCTGGTCTCCACAGTACACACAACATGGAAATGCAATTATGTTAGTAAATATAAACTGCTAAATACCTTTTTTCATCAGCAGCATATAGCAGTCTTCAGAGGCATAACTAGAACCTTCAGGACCCTGGTGCAAGAAAACATGAAGGACCCCCCTGACCCCCCCCCCCCCCTTCCCTCTAATCGCAGTCCCTTTATTAAGGTCCCACAGCAGCCCCCTTCCTGCCATCTTTTCTTCAAGCCAAACCCAAACCACTTTAGTGGCGTACGGCCCCTTTTTTTTTAGTATTCACTATACATATATTTTGTGAATAATTAACATTTCTAATCATATGGATTTAATCACAAGAGTCCCCCCTTACATTAGAGTCCACAGAGATCCCCCATTACATCTGAATACGCAGAGTTTCCCTTTACATCTAAACTTGCAGAGTTCCCTTACATTGTAAGGGGCGACTCTGCAGACTTTGATGTATAGGGAGTCTCTAATTTAAGGGGGGCACTGAGAACTCTGATATAAGGAGAGAACTCTGATGTAGAAAGGAAGGCTGCAGTAAGGAAACTCTGATATAAGGGGTTCTCTGGTAACCAGAGCCTCCACTTACATCAAAGTGCCCAGCATTCCCCTTTAATCAATGTTCCTAAATCACCCCTTACATCAGTGTCCACAGAGCACCCTTTCATCAGAGTCTGCAGAGCTCCCCATATCAGAGTCCGCAGAGCCCCCCCAACATCAGATTTTGCAGAGGCCCCCCCAACATTAAAGTCCACAGATTCCCCCACCATCAGAGTCCACAAAGTCCCCCCCAACATCAGAGTCCACAGATCCCTCCCACCATCAGAGCATGCAGAGCCCCCACACCATCAGAGTCTGCAGAGCCACCCACCATCAGAGTCTGCAGAGCCACCCACCATCAGAGTCTGCAGAGCCACCCACCATCAGAGTCTGCAGAACCCCCCACCATCAGAGCAAACAGAGCCCCCCACCAGCATCAAAGTCCTCAGAGCCCCCCACCAGCATCAGAGTCCTCAGAGCCCCCCCAGCATCACAGTCCTCAGAGCCCCCCCACCATCAGAGTCCTCAGAGCCCCCCCACCATCAGAGTCCGTAGAGATCCCCACCATCAGAGTCTGCAATGATAATGGTAAACAGGACAAATAGAGAGGGTGAATCTCCCTAATGGGGCCAGACAGCAATAAAAACCTAATAGGTGTTCTAATACTTCTCCACCTTATCCAAAACAAAAAAGTTTTTTCTTCTAGTTATACTTAAGTAAATACAGAATAGTGGTCCAAGCCCTGGTTGAACTTACAACATTGCCATCCCCACAGATGGTTTGTCTTCTTGGACTAGTAGCAGAGTTGGTACCCTTACAGTGCACTTTTCCCTCAGTAACCCTCTTTTATGCCCGTAAGGCAATCTTGCTTCATTGTAAAAAAACAAAATTACCAGGAGGTATTGCACTAGGGTGGGGAGAGGGGGGTTGGTTGGTTTTTCTTCTTCTTTTTTTTTTTTTTTTTCTTTTAGTATGCCAAGTTCACTGGCTGCTCCAGTATATGAATGTAGATTGTACTTCTGTAGATTGTTGTATGTTTTACTTTTTTTATACTTAAAAAAAAAAAGTAAATACAGACTCTCTTTCTAAATGTCAAATATTGAATGAAAATGGCATAAAAAAAAAAAAAATCACACATATATAAACACCCTTCTTCCACCAATAAAAAAGATAATGTTTGTAGAAGACAGGTATTTATATACAGTATGTGTGTGATATTTTTTTTATACTATTTTAATTCAATATTTGATATTTACTTAATATAATTTAGTTGTTTTTTATACACCACGTGTGTCTTGTGAATGCAGCTTCCCTTTGCCTGGTATTCTAGTCACCTTTGTTCTTTTGTATTAATCTGCTGCAGAGACCACATTGTCTTTGTGAGTTGTCCTATTTCTACGGTTTAAACAATTTTGCCTCTTTATTAACAATAAAAACTGACAGGGATTCTGATTCTTCTCCACTGTATCCATCCCACTGGATTTCAAATGAAATAAAATTCTGCATGGTTTCATGAGATAAATACCGCATATTTCGGAAAAATGCAGTATTTTAGAAGCATTTTAGTAAATGCACAAAAATGTTTTGAAAAACGCTGAGCAGTATTTTACAGCATTCTTAAAACGGTAGATAATGCTTCGTGAATGGAGCCCAAAGTCAATTGACTGGTACTTAAGGACTGCCTTTTAATGGTAAAAGGTACATTTTTTTTTTTCATAATATTATATTTACACTCTCTATTGTGACAAACATCAGGAATGTAACAACTTTGAGCTTAGAAGTGGAACCAAGGGGTTTTAGGGAGCTGGGCTGTAACTTTAATATTTTCTGAGTCACTGACCTGGAGTCATTGTAGAGCCAGGAAATGCTGACTTTGTTAGGCTGGATATATACTAATAGAATTTTGTTTGTCATTTTTGTTGAAACATTGAAAGAATGTTCATTCGTTTTTCTAATCATTAGTGGGGTCAAATCAACATTTGTTTTCGATTTGGAGGCACAGGATAAAAAAAAAATTTCTCCAGATTTTTAACAGTGTGTTTTTCTTTTCCCGATAAAGTCCAATCATTCTAAAATCAAATGTTATAAGCAAAATAAATCTTGAACTACTTTTGAAAGACATTCAAATGTACTAAGAATTTTCATTCAAACTTTCCTAAGAATTTTTCTATGAATTTTCACTCGAAATTCTACTAGTATATACCCACTTTTAGTTTTCTGCTTGTTCCATGTCTGTGGCTCAAAAGTATTGAGCCCAAGCACAGCCAGGCAAATAGCACGTTTGGAGGCAGACCAGCAATGGAGGCCCATATATTTCTCTTGTGAAAGAAAGCAGGGTCTCATACGAAAGGTTTTACGTACTCGATAAAGCACAGCAGAATATTCTACATCAATGAATACAATAAAGAATTACAGTCGAAATCCAATGGTTGGGAGGCAGAGGTTCCTGAAAAACAACAATGTTGGGAAGTAATCTCTAGAGAGAGACTGAAATCAGAACTGCGATGCAGGTAGAACAAGCTGACCATTGTTCCACAACAAGCTCTGACGGGCCCCTCAGGTAATGAAAACCATAATCACATATTTATAGCTATCCCTTGTGCTATGTGACAGGGTACATCTGGCTATAAAAGGGGTTAAACAGCTTAATGTTTTCTGTAACTGTTTAACTTGTGTTCCCACACTCAGTAGAAGTCTCTTCTTGGTCTTTGAGAGGTAAGCAGGGAAGCAGGCCAACCCTTCTCATGGCCCCATTCCAAAGATGTATTTTAGTTTCCACAATTTAATGAAAACTCCCAGGGATGACCCCAAAAGGTCAGCGTAGGAGAAGGTTATTCTTCGAGTCCTTGCATAATTAATGTGGAATTTGTTGGATCCCACAAGGCTACAAAGTACATAACCAAGATTGACCTTAGCTGGCATCTTACTCAAGAAGTCTCATCCCAGCTGTGGCTCCAAGATAAGCAGGGGTTCCTCGCTGTCTTTCCGGGGGGATAACAGCCATCGCTTCTTTTAAACAGGCCACTAGGGACTTGCCTGCAGAAGGGGGGTCATTGGCATAGCTGGATATTCCGGGGCCTACACAAAGACATGTTAATCATTAACAAATTTTAAGTAAAAAGGCCATAACAGTCATATTCATGCAAATCTTTTGTTGAACATCTGAAAGTTCTCGTCACCCTAATACTTAGTGTTCCTTTAAGGTGTATGTTCAGTACATTTCTGCAATGCATAGGCATTTTCCAATGTGTTGTTTCCTGTAAAATACACTGTGTAAGTACAAAAAAATACCTGATGATCTGCCAGAAATCCAATGAACTCATACCTTCCTGTAGTGAGCTGATAACTACCTCTGCTACACTGAAAACCCGAGCAGTATTATCTGCCCTGTCTGAGTTGTACAAAACACCTCCCCTTGTGTTAAGAAAATAAGGAGAGGAAAAGTGTTTTGTAGTCCAGAGGGGAAAAATAAGCATAGCTGACATCAAGACCTAAGATTTCGGTGTAGTAGAGACACTAGGCTGTCAGCTCAGGAAGTTGGGAGGTCACTGAATCAATGGCAGATGACAATTTGCTTTACTTGCAGCACTTGTAAAGGGGGAAAAAAAATGGGCAAATGTGCATGTGTTACAGAGATGTACTGAATATTTTTTCTTTTATTTTGCTCAGATGTACACGTTAAGCTGGCCACGTGCTATTGTACACTCCCCTTTAGATTTGCCAGCAGCTCTGTATTACAAGGGCCTGGCTGTTTAAATATAAACTGAATAGATTGTTCAGACCATATGGACCATACGTGGTTGGTGATAAATGTAAAGGTGGTTGTACAGAGAATGAAAAGAGGAAATGTTATAAAAATCTTGTTTTTATGGGTCGTTTGCGATCATATTTGTACATGGGGGAAGTTACAAGGGTCAATTATGTAAGCAGGTTCTGCTTACAGTTGAGCCCTTACTTCCTACTGATAAGGTGTCTCTGAAACCATAACCTTGCTTAGGCTGGACATAGATGACTCATTTTATTTCAGTCAGCCAACAGGCTGATGGAAAACAACTGAACGGATTCCCTCATCCACACAAGTGAGGTGGATGGAGGAATCCTCCCCACTGTGATATTGTATTCTGACTCTTCTGCTGTCAGAATACACTTATATGGGTGGCCTAGCGAGCGCACTTCAAAGCAGCTAAATGCACAAAAAGGAACCACAAAAACCTTTCTATAATGAGCAAATGGAAAATGAAAGTGCAGCGCTAAGATGAATGGTGACAGTAAAATCGAAATCTTATGCAAGAATTACTAAAATATATGAATAAAATAAACGCCATCACCCCTACAGCAGACGTGTCATTACACGAAACGCGTCTAGGAGTGTATTCAGCAATTCATGCCCACTTGCACGTGCCTTTTATGACGTTAACACGACCGGACCGACCAGGGCATCAGGCTAGGTCGCAGCGCAACACTGAACCCACCATTTTTTTGTGATAAAGGTTCACACTGGTCAGTGTATTCAGCAATTCATGTAAAAAAAAAAACTTACCACTACTTTTTATTCACAGTCACCCTCACAGTGTCACCATTGTGCATTTATTTTTTTTTATGATTGCATTTATGCAATTTTCTCTTTCTCTCTGTATTTGATATTGAGAAATACATTGACTAATTCATGCTTAATAATAGCCTCCTTTGGAATTCACTTTCACACATATGAGCACCTATATCTTTATTGCCTTGCACTGAGCTTCCACACCTCAGCCCAGGATTCCAGGTGACCTGTCCAGGCCTAGGAAGCAAGCCCTAAGACCAGACCAGTATTCCCAGGCCTACCTGCCACCCAAACTGAGGGACCACCTGAGGATCATCCTAGTACCAAGCAGTACCTGCATAGCAGCTGAGGATCTTTATATGCGCATTAAGATTGCGCTTCTGGTGAGTGGGCAATCTTTCCATACTTTCACATCGGGATGCTGGAGCAGTGCTCATACTGATTTAAGTCTTCATATATCTTTTTGGACTGAACACCTATTTAGTTCACCACATTGGACTTCATATCTTTTAGTAATTCTTGCACAAGATTTCGATTTTACTGTCACCATTCATCTTAGCGCTGCACTGTCAGAATACACTGATCAGCAGCTACAGCCGCTGATTGAGAAAAAAATTCCAGCAATCGTTAGACTGACTTTTGTTGAGCAGCTGCAGCCACTTATGGATCGACACTCAGCTGGTCCCTGCCAAACTGACTGACTTTTTCATCCATCTATGGCCAGTTTAAGTCTCTAATGGTCTTCAAGCCTAGTATGCACAATCAGAAAATCTTATGAAAAATACCACTTTCAAAGTGATCACGTGATAATCTGATCGCTAGTACACAGTTTTCGTCTGAAATTATTTGAAGCGACAAGCAGGTAAAATGTTCTTGTACGATACCAGATTGTACGATTTTCATTTAATCAATACAGTTGTCCTCAACATACAGTATAATACAACATAAAATATAATACAAATACATGACATCACTTCTGAATTTTCTGTTGTACAAGATTTTTTGTAACTTTAGTAACCTCTTCATTTTCAATATGAGACTAGCATGCAAAAAGAAAAAAGGATGATCATTCGTCCAATATTCTTTTCGTGTGTACAGGGCATTAGACTTGCAATGCACTGCAAGTCGAGATAACATATCTTTATCTAAGCAACTGACATGCCGGAGCTTAGAGTGGCCTTTTTTATGTAACAAAAAGTTACTTTTGCAGCCCCACAGAGCTTACCTCACACCTTTCTAACACAGGATTCAGGTTGTGGAACCTTGTTACCTCCACCATCTCATGGTGCCCCTGGCACATGGAGTTTGTGCTGGCGTTGGGTGCCAATAGAGTAATGTACTACCCCTGAATGTTGTTGAAAGCATTTTTTCCTTTTTTTTTTTTTGTATTGTTTTGTACCTTTGCTACTTCTGAATTTTCAGTATACACTATATTGCCAAAAGTATTAGGTTGCCTGCCTTTACATGCACATGAAATTTAATGGCATCCCAGTCTTACTCCACAGGGTTCAATATTGAGCTGGCCCACCCTTTGCAGCTATAACAGCTTCAACTCTTCTGGGAAGGCTGTCCACAAGGTTTAGGAGTGTGTCTATGGGAATGTTTGACCATTCTTCCAGAAGCTCATTTGTGAGGTCAGGCACTGATGACGGATGAGAAGGCCTGGCTTGCAGTCTCTGCTCTAATTCATCCCAAAGGTGTTCTAGCGGGTTGGGGTCAGGACTCTGTGCAGGTCAGTCAAGTTCCTCCACCCCAAACTCGCTCATCCATGTCTTTATGGACCTTGCTTTGTGCACTGGTGCGCAGTCATGTTGGAACAGGAGGAAGGGGTCATCCCCAAACTATTCCCACAAAGTTGGGAGTATGAAATTGTCCAAAATGTTTTGGTATGTTGATGCCTCTTTCCCTTCACTGGAACTAAGGGGCAAAGCCCAACCCTTGAAAAACAACCCCACACCATAATCTCCCGTCCACCAAACTTTACACTTGGCACAATGCAGTCAGACAAGTACCGTTCTCCTGGCAACTGCCAAACCCAGACACGTCCATCAGATTGCCAGACAGAGAAGCGTGATTGGTCACTCCAGAGAACATGTTTCCACTGCTCTAGAGTCCAGTGGCGGTGTGCTTTACACCACTGCATCCGACGCTTTGCATCACACTTGATGATGTAAGGCTTGGATGCAGCTGCTCGGCCATGGAAACCCATTCCATGAAACTCTCTACGCACTGTTGTTCTAATTTGAAGACCAAATGAAGTTTGGAAGTCTGTAGCTATTGACTCTGCAGACAGTCGGCGACTTTTTCGCACTGTGCATTTCAGCATGCTCTGACCTACTCTGTCATTTTATGTGGCCTACCACTTCGTGGCCAAGTTGCTGTTGTTCCCAGTTGCTTCCACTTTGTTATAATACCACTAACAGTTGACCATGGAATATTTAGTAGCAAGGAAATTTCACGGATGGACTTATTGCACAGGTGGCAACCTATCACGGTACCACACTTGAATCCACTGAGCTCCTGAGAGCGACCCATTCTTTCGCAAATGTTTGTAGAAGCAGTCTGAATGCCTAGGTGCTTGATTTTATACACCTGTGGCCATGGAGGAGCCCTAATACTTTTGCAATATAGCTGGGTGCAAGTGAAGTGAAGAATATGGACAATTGTTAGGAAAACAATGAAAATGTTATTGCATTCCTTATAAAATACTGTAATAATAGTCTACATGGTCTATATTGCTTTTAATCAGTAGTTTTATAGTCCTAATAAACATTTTGTACTGTTTGTAGTAACATTTTTTTGATGGTACTTTTATTAATAACTGTTTGACTGCTGTCAGTTGTGTCCGATCTAACCCTTGTTTTTCTACATATAAATCTGAAGGAAATTGTACAGACTGTAAAGCCCATCTTTATGTTTATCTGAAACCACAATCTTTCTTAACTAGATGTAAACCCTAACTGGATGACATCTAGTTTGATAAAGATAAAGCATTTTGCACACTCTGTGCATTACATACTCCTAACTCCTACTCCACATTCCTGACCCCTTCACTCTGTGTGTTACATACTTTTGACTTCTGTGCTCTGTATGCTATGTACTCCTGACCCCTGCACTCCATGCAATACCTACTCCTGAATCCTTCACTATGTGCATTACATATTTCTGACCCCTGGGCTCTGTGCACTACTGCTGCACTCTGTGTGTTACATGCCCCACACCCCTGCAGTCTGTGCTAATATGCTTATAGACAGTTAACCTTTCCTTGGCTAAAATCTTGCCAATGTACCAAATGGCTAAAATGATAGCAACCGGTATATGCAGGCAGCAGAGGTTCCTGCACTTCAGCAGGATCTTAGGTTAGGTCTGATTCACTTGCAGTATATGACAACCTAAACAATGAACTTCTCTTATGTGCTTCCTTTTGATCTGTAGCACTACCCCCTTATGGTTTGCTGATGAATTGGTTCCCCCTATAGTCCTGTACAACCAGGTAATCTGCATTCTCTACACAAGCTTGCATCCAGAGTCAGAGAATCGGTCCTTGAGCTTTTGTGTTATTTATTGAGGAGATTTGAACTGGGATAGGGTAAGGAGGTATAGGATGCCCAAGGGAGCATAGATAGGCAGCACTGACAGGCAGCACTGATGAGATAGTGCTGATGAGGCAACACTACTGGGCACTGATGGTTTGGAATGCTGGGCGGCACTGTTAATCAGGGCACTGAAGCTGTGACAGCGTGAGGAAAGTGCTGTCGATAACCGGCAACTATGTTTACTTTGTGATCGGCTGTGTCATTGGACACTGACAGCACCGGGTGCGCGCCGCCGCTGGGGCCGTTTTACGGCTATAGCGCGGTTGGCAAGTATTTAATGAAGTGAACAGTCACTGGTAGGTGGCTAATCTGGTTTTCCACCACAGTGATCCTTTCCCTATCCGCCCAGGGGGTGCAGGTGTACTCAAGTAGATCCTCTCCTGTACCGCTTGCGGGTTGGCTGGGCTGCCCCTTCCCTGCCATACAGGTGGTCCTCGCTTCGGGGGCCAGTGAGCTCCACCTTTTCCATCTTTTCAGCTCCAGGCATTCCACTAGGCCTCCTGGCAGCCTCTTTCCTCACATCTTCATCTCCACAGTCCATTCTTCCACCCGACTCCTGCTACTGAGCAGGCTCCAACACTTTTAAGGGAGTCCCAGCCCCTTGCCAAGCCTTCTGGGGGTTGGCTGAGGTCCCTCAAGAGTGCTGCCAGCCACTCCTCAGATCCACCCACTACCTCCAAGGCCTTCTTCCAAAAACCTCAGAGTAGAGGGAAATTCCAGATTGGCTGGCCTGCAGAGTCTCTCGGCCCTGACACGAATTTGACCCCTCTGGATAGTACATGTGAGATGCTATTCAGCTCCTGACTAACCACTGGTATCTAGCTCCCCATAGCTAAACTAGGAGGGTGCTACAGATCTATTACATTTATCATTAAATTTGTTTTGTTACACCTGTTCTATAAAATGCACAAAATACCTTGCTGATAAATGTTAGAAATTCAAAGCTGTTCTTTGCACACTTCCTGTGTTATCTCAAAGTGTCCAATTAGCCCTGCTATTACTTATCTGGATCTACAAAATAATTAGGATCTATGTTGTAGAGATGAGAGAGTGGGAGGGTTTAAATAGTTTAGCAAAATACAGCTAGGCAGGGCTGACACTACAATGCTGTGTGTTTTCAGCCCACAACACGATTTAGGACTGCATTTCTGGAGCCTCAACGAGTATTAAAATGGAAAAATCAGAGTGTAATATGTATATTTTGCAGAGAAATACTACATATGTTTTTTGCCCTGAGACAGGAAAATAGAGGCAGTTGTTCTTTTGTATGGAGTTTATTAGACACCTGAGTCTGCACTGCTTTACTAGAGAGGAAGTCTGTTTATTATAAACTGGGGAACTTCATGCCTTAGAAGCCAGATGTGTAGCTGAAACTGGGAACAGATGAGCATGTGAGCAGTTAGAGGAAAGGTCCCAGCAACAACCTCTTAGAGGCAGATGATGGATCTCTCCAGACACATTCGGTGACATGGAAAAACTGAATGGGATAATAAAGCAGTGTGAAATCAAGTAGAAATGATCACTTAGCCTTTTTATCATGCTTAAAAGGAAAGTTGGGTATTGTAGATACAATTTTTTCAATTCTGTAAAGCTATAAGGAGATATAAATTGAATTACACACCCCATGTGTTATTGTCATCTGCAGCTCGGAAGCCGACCTCCACCATCAGGTGCTATGAACCTCTAAAGCTATACAATGCAGTATTGAATTATTGCTGGGGTGTGAGAGATGACATTGTCATTCATTATCTCTAAAGAATGGTCCCAGATGGGACTGGAAATGGAACTTGTGATCATAAAAAAAAATAGCTAATCGTTTTTTGGAAAAGCTAGTTCATGCTGATCCTTTGGCTTCAATGAGTCAGAAAAATTTGTTCAACTAGTTCATGCTGATCCTTTGGCTTCAATGAGTCAGAAAAATTTGTTCAACTAGTTCATGCTGATCCCTTGGCTTCAATGAGTCAGAAAAATTTGGTGTTCTTACGTCAGCCTGACTTCACTTGCAGTGTGTGAGTGTGCCAGGTTGGTGGCCCAAATGGTTGACAGGCAAATATAACCAGGCTATTTTAAGAATAGCAACCTGCCTACATACAGTGTGTCTTATGATAGGTTTCTTTTAGGCTGCCTGCCCAGCAACATGTAGGAGGCTGGCCACACATTGCACTACCTACTTGAAGGTAAATCTAAAGGAAATTGCAGAAGAAAACTATATAACGTATGGCCAGCTTTTTAGTGAGTGATAGCATGAAAACCGAATCCTGCAGGCACAACTAATTACTTTGCTGGTCACTTACCCTCTACATCGCATGTGTGTGTCTGGCTTACCACGCCCGTGTTGTTCTCCTTATCCGTGGGCCATTGATAAATAAAAAGCGAGGTGTGCGAGGAGCCGGCGTCGAATACCATCCCATACTGTTAAATATAAACAGGGACAAGCACTTTAAATATAGCTATTAAAGCACATTTGTAATTCATTGTTAACAAACAGTCTTGCTGGAAAGGATAAAGAGTAATGCAAGGAGTCTCATTTTTACATGTTGAAAATGCTGCTTCAGGCTCTCTCTGGTGTTGATTACTAAATATGACCTAGGTCCCTGGATACATGATATCTGTATAAGTATATGTTTTTCTTGCTGTCTGCCCCTATTGTATCTTGGGGATCCAATAGGAAACATGAGGAATATCTCCAAAGTGAGTGAAAACCCCTCTAAGATGCCACCAGAACAGGTGTCCCCATTTAAAGATTCCTCACTAGGGATGAGCTAAGGTGTGGACCGCCCTGTAACTGCACATAACCAAAGGGCGGGGATGCTGGTGACATCACTGACCTAATTTAGTCACATGGCTATATATGGACTATGCCATTGACTGAACATGGCATATTAGGTCAATGATGTCACCTGTATCCCCACCCTGTATGTGCGGGCTGCAGTTGGGAATTTCATAACCGCAGCTGATTGGGCTAGCAGACTGCTATCATGAGACAGTATTCCACGGGAACCTTAGCACAACCTTACTCCTCACCTCCTTCTCTGGTAACAGATAAATCATTTTGGATTTCCCTGCACTTTCTGTACCTGTGACAATGGACAGCAGATCAAATGAAGAGGATGAATTCCTGAGCGGGGACACAGACAATAAAAACCTTAAAGGGGAACTCCACTTTTGTGAAAAAAAAAATATAATTTATACAATCGCTACTCAATTCATATTGTAATTTAATGTTATTAAAAATACTTTCCTTTTCAATGTACAGTCGCTGTAATTAACTGCTATGCTAGAAGGCTAGCTGGAGTGCACAGAATGCTTCCAAAAATGTTGTTTCCTGCTTGCGTGATTGCTGACAGATTTTGTTTTTACGCTTAAATTGGCCATATACTATACAATCTAATTGTACAATCTCCTTTAGATTACCCAAACTATGTAACTTGAGAACAAACCAAAAAAATGCATTCAATCAGTATCAAATCAGGCAAGCTCTTGTATTACAATGAATAGTTGACAGTGGCTCTAACTCTAGGTTCACACCTATGCAGTTTGCATTTGATCCGTTTCTGCATTGCTTTTTGCGGTGAGTTTTGCATTTGATGCTTTTGATGCATTTTTCAAATTTTTTTTTATTTTTCTTGTTGCTGGCAGATTTCAAACTTAAAACCCATTAAGAATGCAGCAGAAAGGAACTACATGCTTTTCAGCAGCGTTTCCATTAAAGTCTACAGAACCAAAAACGCAACTTTTTTGCGTTTTAAAAAAGTCCCTGACCCTTTCCAAAAAACACACCGGGTGAAACCGCGGAGATGTGAACCTGTCCCATAGGAAATCATGTTAAATGGGCTGTAGTGCGTTTCTGCAAAATGCAAAACGCTGCGGAAAACGCTTAGGTGTGAACTTAGGGTTAAGGTGGTTGCACAATTAAATTGTATAGTGTGTGGTGAGCACACACTTGAGTTGAGTTGAGATTTTTAGACACCCCCTGTAATATAAATATAATGCACACTGGACGTTTTTACAGTTGTTGTTTTTGGCTTTTGATGTTTTTTTTTCTACAGCCAGTAAACTTCCCAGCATGTTATCCTATGTGTTCATGCACACAGACTGTAATTTGTTTTTTGGCAGAGGAGTTTTTTGGCTGGAAAAACGTGGTTTACTAAAAAAAATTGTGTTTTTTGATAAAAAAAAACGCGGAAAAGCGCAGGTAAATGCTAATACAAAAACGCTAAAAAACATTGAAAAACATTTTAATGTGACTTTACACAGCTAACGTTGCTAGCGATATTTACCACCTCCCGCCCGCCATATAGTCCAATGACGGGCGCAAGGTGGTTATGTTGTTCTGATAGGCCGTCTTTTGACGTCCTTCCATTCTCACCGCATATGCGCATCTCAGGGAGCACGCAGCGCAGCGATTGGCGGTGCTCTGTGTCCCTCGGACACAGCGGATCACCGATCCACGGAGAGAGCCAAAGATGTCAGCTCGGTCATGTGATCAGCTGTGTCCAATCACAGCTCGGTCATGTGATCAGCTGTGTCCAATCACAGCTGATCACATGTAAACACGGAAATGCTGGTTATCGGCATTTCTCTCCTCTCGAGCTGTCACACTGACAGCTCGAGAGGAGAGCTGGTAATCGGCATTCCGCGGAGGGGACATGTACACTGATCATCAGGGCACTGATGATCAGTGTGCCCTGATGATCAGTGTGGCCCCAGAAGTGCCACCTGTCCATGTCCATCAGTGCTGTCAGTGCTGAACAGTGCCACGTGCCAGTGCCCATCAGTGTCACATCAATGCCACATATCAGTGCCTACCAGTGCACATCAATGCCACATATCAGTGCCCATCTGAGCTGCCCTTCAGTGTCACCCATCAGTGCCACCTATCAATGCCAATCACTGCCACCTATCAGTGCTGCCAATCAGTGCCAGTCAGTGCCGCCTATCGGTGCCAGCCAGTGCTGCCTATCAGGGCTAGTCAGTGCCAACTAACAGTGCCAGTCAGTGCCACCTAACAGTGCCGCCAGTCAGTGCAATTTATCAGTGCTGCCTTTCAGTGCCCATCAGTGATGCCTGTCAATGCCCATCAGTGCCACCTACTAGTGCCTCCTCATCAGTGGCCATCAGTGCCACCTATCAGTGGCCATCAGTGCATCTTATCTGTGCCCATCACTACAGCCTCATTAGCGCACATCAGTGAAGGAAAAAAATCACTTATTTACAAAATTTTATGAAAAAAAAAAAAACTAAGAAAAAAACATTTTTTTTCAAAATTTTGGTTTGTTTAAGAAAAAATAAAAAACCCAGAGGTGATTAAATACCACCAAAATAAAGCTCTATCTGTCACAAACAAATGATAAAAATTTCATATGGGTACAGTGTAGCATGACCGCGCAATTGTCATTCAAAGTGTGACAGCGCTGAGAGCTGGAAATTGGCCTGGGCAGGAAGGGGGTATAAGTGCCCTGTAGGCAAGCGGTTAAAATGCCCCGTGTGAATGGAGCCTAAAGGTGGGAATACACAATTAGAAAATTGACTGATTGGTCATCTGACGACGGAGAGGAGTTTGTTTGTTGGTCGAAATCGTTGCCCACATTAACCAATCTGAAAAAATTGTTCGTCGGGCAATACATAGTGTTGATGTCTTCCATACAAGTGGAAGTGATGTAGTGTACGTGTGACCTTGTAGCCACGCCCTTCCGGCCAGAACGAGCGATATACACAACAATTACCAGCAATGAGTATAATATAGTTTAATTACATGAACTATATACATAAATAGTGATATATAAAATATAATCTGCAGAATTCTGGTTTCATTATCTCATTAGGCAAATCTACTTTTAACATTTGGATTTTTCATTCGTGTTTACGAAGATTCCTTGGACATAAACATCCAGGTCAACTTCTGTTTCCGTGGATGCGTGATAGCGCTTGATAGATTTTTTTCAGACGACCGTCATACCACCGCATAGAAAATCGGTCGGGTACACATTGGCCTGAAAATTGGCAGAAAATGGTTGGTTCAGCAGGAATCAGCTGACTTTCAGCCTGTGGTTATAGCTCCTTGTCCACAAGAATCCAGTCTCATAACGGCTTCTGGGGAACAAGCATGCAGGAAAACTAGGATTTGATTTGCGCTCACAACCAACGGTTGGAAGCACTGATCACTGTGTTCTGCTGGGGGTTCCCCTTTAAAAATACAATAGCTTAGTGAGGGAGATTGCCGCACTAACATCAGATGTGTTAGTATGGCGGTCTGTACCAGGGGCGGACTGACAACTCATGGGGCCCCCGGGCAATAGGATCATGGGGCCCGGGTGTCCTTGCCCAAACTCAAAAAAGCCTATGAAAAAGGTACCAGGGGCATCTCATGGGGCCCCCTACTGACCCCGAGCCCTCGGGCAGTGCCCGAGTTTCCAAATGGTCAGTCCACCCCTGGTCTGTACGTTTTTTTTTTTTTTTTCTGTTCAGCCTGCTGGGTTGAGTGAAAAAAGAAAACTTCCGTTGTGTCCCAGGCTTAAGGGTTAATTACTTCTAAAGAGATGCAGATACTGCAGCTTTCCTCATTAGAGCACAGAAATTGCACCAGCTGATTATAACGAACTAGATCTTCCCATTCACAATCAGTCTGTTGAAAGGAGCAGTTATTTCTTCCCAGCAGCAAAAGGTAGGAATCTGCTGCAAAGTTGTTGTTTTTGCTTTTTGAAATCCATGCAATGTACATTGATTACCCCGAGGGGATAAAACTGAGGCTACATTTGCATGAGTGTTTAGCCACTCTACAAACCCCAGTGGCAAGAATCTGCTGATTCCTGTGGCTGAGATTGACAGCTATGTGCATCCAGTTATGATCACCGCAGGTAAACGTTTGCTGGGTGACCAGTATTAAGTAGGTGTGATCACCAGCAGCCTGTCATGGACTTGGCGACTGCAGCGGTCAGTACACAGCTGCAATCCCAGATGCAGGAATCAGTAGATGCCTGTGTGAATGTAGTCTGTGTTAAGGGCCATTTCACACCAGGATGTGGCGCAGGAAAGGCGTGTTCAAATGCATGGTGTTCAAAACGCGCCACCTTTGCGATCTGCTGCAGGTGCCAATACATTAACACCACCCCAAACGCTGTGCATTTGCAGGCACCAGATTGGTGCAGAGTTTTTTGTTTTTTTTTTTTAAAGTAATGCATGCACTACTTTTTTGTTCTGGTACAATTTTCAACCCATTCAAATGAATGGGCTTCCAAATTGCAATGCAGAGAAACACAAAGGAATCGCACAGGAGTGCAGGCTGGCCCTAAGAATAAAATATGCTCAATAAAGGCTTACAAAGCCTCCGTCCCATAAAAATATTTCAAACCTATATACAGTATTATATATATTTTTTTCAAATCTCAACAAAATAAAGTCCCTGTATTAAATCTATATGGATCAATACTGGAGCTGGAATGAATGGATGCTGTGTGGAAGTGTTTTGCAAAAGAATATCTGTTTGTACATATGTTGAAGTGTTGATCTGTGGACTCTTTTTTTATTATAAAAAATGTATTAAACACCTCAAAGGTGGTCACTATTTTATATGTCTTGCTGGGCATATCTGTGCACATGGTTTTATTTTGCTATAATAGACATGGTGATTGTTTTGTGGTGTTATGTGCTCCTTTGTTGGCAATAGTAGGCTCCATGCACATTAGCAGTTTTTTTTTTTGGGGGGGGGGTTTAGCTCGAAAAACGCTGAAAAACACACTGGATAAAGAAACCGCTGGTAATAGAAGTGTTTAGGAGTGTTGGCATTTTCTTAGTGTTTTTTACAGCACATATAGGAAAAAAAGCTGGTAGGAGCGTTTTTGTAGCATTTAGGAGCATTTAAGTAGCATTCAGCGTTTATTCTGCTGGAAAACGCTCCCAAAAACTATTCAAAAACATTTTTTTTTCTGCTCCTAAATGCTGAAGTTTGAAAAATGCTTCTATCCTAAAATAGTGTGCACAGATACATAGGATACCATTGTTTAGCTTCTAGGGAGCAGAAAATAAAATGCCGATAACAGCTTCAAGGAGCTTAAAAAAAACAGTGTGTATGGAGCCTGAGACCCAGTTCACACCAATGCGGTACAGGAAACGCTGCGAATCTTGAGCGTTTCCCGCACCGCATTGCAATCACGTTCATGCGATCTGGTGCAGGTGTTAATAAAATGACATCCCAAAACAGATCGCAAAATGCCATGGGATTGCCAGAAATTGCATAGGTGAGAACAGCCATGCGATGTGATTCAGGTGCTGATTTAAAAAAAGGGTCCTGTGCCTTTTTGGTGTGGATGCGATGCGATTTGGGCCATACAAAGTGGCTCAAATCTCAGACATTTGCATGTAATTCGCACAGGAATGCAGTGCGATTCCTGTGCGAATTACATTCAGTGTCCTGCACCACATGATGTGAACCCGGGCTTAAAGTGTCTAAAGTATAGATTTTTTTTCTTCCACCCTAACATTTTCTCTGCTGCACTCTCTACTGTACTTCATTTTAGATATACACTACTGTACTTGTCTTTAGATAAATTTCAATTTAAAATTAGGGCCTCCCATAAAAAAATGTGCTGCAGCACTTAATTATACCACAGGAACAGGACGCAACGACCTTGTGTGTTAATATAGATGAAGTTTGATAGGAATATACAAAATACATTCACATACAGCTAGAAGTAATTGTGCTGATTGGGAGGCTGCAGATGAATTCATTTTTGGCTCTTTGTATCCGTGTTAATGCACAAGGTTGTTCCCTTCACTTTTCTCAATTTGCAGACCATCCCAGTGTGTTTTCACACAGGTGCTGCATGATCTGTTTATAGAGGACCTCATCTGATTCATATAATTGCTTTGCAAATACCATTAGGGCTCGTTCACACTTGACTCTTTTACCAACGATTGCCAAACGCCCGTATAGCATTTGGCAAGAGTTGGTCCGGCGTTTGCGGAGCGTTTTTTAATGCTCCATATGCGCAGTTTAGCGGCGTTTGCCGAGCGTTAAAAACGCCCCACAAACGCCTATAATGAAGTTTAAATTGTGTTACCGCTCCGCAAACGCCCCGCAACCGTGACGCACACGCCGGCCGGGTGTTTGCGGAGCGGCACCATAGACTAGAATAGGAGGCTTCAACGCCTCCTGACTCGACCAGAGGCATCCGTTTTGCTGCGACGCAACGCTAACGCTCCCGTTAGAACAGCACCATGGGCTGCAATGTGCAGAATTGTCCGAGGCATTTGCGAAGCGGTAAAAAACGCTTCCCAAACGCCTCTCTGCCACCTGCACACAACACTAGTAGCCTTAGGCTCCGTTTACACCAATGCATTTTTTAGTGCTTTATGCAGAAACAAACTACAGTCCATTTAACATGGTTTCCTATGGAACATGTTCACATCATTGCTTTTTTGAACTGCTGTGTTTTTGAATAGGGCCAGGGATGTTTTTTAAAAAGCAAAAAGCAGCGTTTTTGCTACAATAGAGTTCAATGGAGAAGCTGCAGAAATGCATAGTGCGTTTTTGCTGCATTTTTATTCTGCCCAGCAACTGAAAAAATTCACTTTAACAAAAACAAAAAAGAGCTACACAAAACGCAAATTGCTGTAAACACATGTCAAAAACAGGTGTAGAAAAACGCACAACAAACTGCAAAAAACACTGGAGAAAGCTAAAAACGTAAAATGCATATATGTGAACCAAAAAGAGTAAACAGTGCAGCGCTAGAAATATGATGGACAATAAATGTTAAAAGAAATTATATTAAAATCTAATTTATAAATAAATTAAATTTATTTATTTTTTTTTAAATGAAAAAAAAAAACAGTGTAAGCCCTAGAATTTGACTTGGCAAGCATACGTGGTGGGGGAATGGGGAGAAGACCTGTTAGTGGTACTGAACTGCAGCAAATTA